TAACCAATAAAATTAATGAATTGCAAGAAAAAATTGACAATTTAAATTTATTAAAACAAGAATTTGATTTGATCAAAATTAATATTTTAGTAAGAGAAATATGCACGATGTTGAGTATAAATTTGGATAATGATTTGTTAAAAATATATCATGCTTTATTACCAAATAATAATAATATAGATAATGTTACAGATCAAAAAGAAATCATCAAATCAATATGTAACATTTTTGACATAGAACATATACAAAATAACGATTATCAAAATCTTATAAATATAAAAAACTTTATTAAAAAAATATTTATAAATGAATAAAGAACATATATTTATTTCATTAATTCATCTTTCAACTTTTGAATCTGATTTTTTAAATTATCAGTTTCTTTTTCTAATTGAGCTACGCGGTTTTTATATAATTCTTTAGCTTTTCCTAATCCTATTTCTTTTTTAGTTCCAAGCTTATTATAACAAAGAACATCATTCGGATAAACATCAGAATGTCCTCAGTCAGCTGCTATATGAAGATAATGATTCACTTCTTGTTTATGTTTTTTATTTATTTCTTCATCATCGTCTTTCTTAAAATTAGACATTAAATATGTCACATAACGAATTGCAGAATCAGGATGTAATCTATCAGCGGCATCTTTATACAATTCAATACTTCTTTTTTTATCCTTCTGTCTTTCATCATTATCGATATATTCAATACCATAACCGTGTTCTAAATAACACGCTGCCCAATAAGCAAAATTTTCTGATAATTTATCAACTTGTAATTTTAAACATTGAAGTATGAAATCTCTCTGTTTCTTTTCAACTATTTTTTTTCATTTTCTGGTAATTTATTTCTATTTTGATGATTTTGAATAAACAAATTGTTAAAATCATCAAGAAGTTGGATTGCTTTAAATTCGGTTTCTATAATATATTGTTGCATCTTTATTAAATTTATTTACTTGACTACTGTTCATATTTATATATTTTTTTAATTAATAATTTTTTGATATTTTTTAATAAACTTTTCTCGATTTTCTATTTTCACAAGTAAATTTAATAATTAATTTGTAATTATCAATTATTATAGATTTTCAATTAGCTTGGCTTAAGGCCAAACTAATCTTGATCCTCTGAGAAAAGCATGATTGAAATGTTTGATAAACAATTGATGATTCAAAAATATTTTTCAATTCATCATTCGTGACAAATAGGGGTTTATAAAGTTTTGTTTCATTATCTTTCTAGTGCTTTGAAAATTCATTCTATCATGATTGACACCATTACTTATCATTGATATAAAAATGATATTTGTGAGTATATGTTTATCAGACAGATTTTCTTGACTTTGATGCGTTCATAAGAAAATCTAATGACTAATCAGATTTTTCTTTTATTTAATTGATGTTTTCTTAATAATTCTAGTTAACTTATATAGAAATTGTTTAGAATCAACATCTTTCAATGTATTTAATCTCTATAAATTTTTTCACATGATTATTTTCTTTGATATCTTTATATTTACTATTAATCAACTGGTTAACTGATGGTAAATATATTTCGCGAATTTTCTTCTGACAAATTTTAGCATAATCATTTTGGTTTTTGTAAGGTATATCTTTAAAAGATAATTTATACTCATCTAACTGCTCTAAATTCTCTTTAAAAAAAATATTAATAGATTCTGTTTCTGAGGTAGGTAATTCAGGTTGTTTTACTACAACTACTGAATCCCGATAGCTATTAATAATTTCTTCTTGTAACCTAATATCTTGATTTATCTTTTATTAAATTTATTTAATCGACTAACTGTTCATATTTATATTTTTTTTAATTAATAATTTTCTGATATTTTTTAATAAACATTTCTCAGATTTTGACTCGTTCATTGAATAAAATAATAATTTTATTATAAATTTATTTTTAAAAAATATACATTTTAAAATAAAAAAAATAAAATTTAAAAAAAATTAAAAAAAATTATTTTTTAAAAATTTCCTCCGACTCGTATTTATCTAATAATTCAATATTTCTATTGATTAATTTTTGATTCTTAATTTTAAGTTCATTCAAATCTCTTTCTAGTTTTTTAATATTTTCAACCAATGACAAACCTTTATTATAATTAGAGAAAGCGTCTTCGCAGTTTTTTCTTAATTTAAAACATGAAGAGCACGTGGTCACGGTATTATCTTTAATTTTTTTCTTAACTTCAAGAAGAGAAAAAACGACCGTGTCGATATCTTTTTCTAACTCCATCTAATAATAAAAAAAATATTATTAATAATTTGTTTATAAACAAACGTATTAAAAAAATTTAACTTTATAAAAATATCATAAGAACAAGACAAAAAAAAACGAGTAGCGCTATCGAAATTCACAAGTTAAAAGTCGACTAAACTTGAGTCGTTCAATCACTCTGGTCCTAGTTGCCAAAGGAGAGAACGAAAAATATTGTTCTTTGCCACCAGTAGACTAAATAATCATATATATATATATATATATATATCTAATATATTAAAAAAAAAATAAAAAAAATACTAACATTCGTGAGAATAAAGATTGTTGTTTACAAAAAAAAAAGATCATCTTGATTTAAAATAAATATTTATAGTAATTTGTGTAATATTATTTACGTACACGACGACGATCTTTTTTCTGTTACACGTTCTAGTATGTGATTATCTGCAAATGTGATATTTGAGTATAATAGACCCGTTATTCTATATCAGACCCATAAAATCAATTCAGAAATTGATTAATTATTGTTATTTAATAAAAATATATATTAAGATGCTACTGTTAATTAAATAATAAATCAATTGAATTATTAAAACTGGATTGAAATATTAAATTTATAACAATTATACCTATTTTTTCTATATAAATAATACAACATTCTCTATCAGGGTAATTTAATTAAAAAAATCATATTATTTATTTTAAATCTATTTAGTCGGTATTATGTTCTTTCGGGAAATGGTTTTCGGGATTTTGTGGCAGAACCCAAATTAACGTTAGTTCTAGATTATAAATTTGGTTCTAATGAGAAACACATCTTTAGAGGCCATTTAAATGTATCGATCAACGTATAATTTAAGTGAATTTTAATGGCCAATTACGTAAATATAGGCCCTGGAAAATGTCAATTGACTTTCCCAAGGTACCCAGAGTCAATCATTAGACATCTACAAATTTTAAAGTAATCAATATAAACCTAACATATTGGGGAAGAATAGATTTCTATATATATTTCTAATTGAAAAATAATCAAATCCTAATATATATATATAATTATATAAATTTTATAAAATTTTATATATGAAATTTAAAGAAAAAGCCGGCCAGGTCTATTTAAAAGTTTCATATTGTGAAAACCAAATAAATCGAATCTCTACTGATCCCGATTCAATTATATAGGGTTTTTTTTTTTTTTTTTTTGTAAATTGCTTATATGCTGTAAATCTTTATTAGTTAATATGGAACATATTACAATTAG